CTTAAGGCAGGAGGCAGTCGTCCCCTTATGAAGAATCTCCAGTTGCAGTTTTAAGATCAGTGAAGTTCAATTCTACGTTAGCACTTTTGATTGAGTAGAAGGCACTTGATTCTTTCCGCATGGGTTCCCGCCGTCGAAAACCCTTTGTTGCTATTTGTTTAGATGTAACACAGTTCCACCCGGAGGAGTTGATACCTGAATTACGCTTATCGAATGAGATTCCACAGCTCTGAAATCTTGAGAAATTCGAGCAGCACGTAAATCTCTGCAGCGAATTTAAAACTACACGGTTTCTTAGAATATACAGCACCGGAAATAAAGATCCCTTGAGACGAAAGAAGAAGTATACAGTGAAAGCCACTCCTGAGGAAAGGACCTGATTTTCCGGTAACATCGTCCAAACTATCGCTACAACGAACGGTGCTGTGCAAAGTACGTAGAGCAGAAACAGGACCATAGCAGTGATCGGCGACTTTGTCTGAGCACGTGCAACAAAACTATTCGCGGAATTGGGCCATGTGGTAACTCTAAGTAAACTGTCTCTTATTTTCACCCTCCGTCTTCGCCGCAGAGCGCTGAAAACGCGGCATGAAACGTAATAGATGCACATTTGAGGAATCATTACGCACACAGTCTTGTGAAAAATGGACAAGGCAGTCGACGGCATCCCCGCCTCAAATAGGCGAGGAAGAGTGTGACAAACTAGAGCCAGCTGACTGAGAGAGTTTTCAGATCGATGCTTAAGAGAGTTTGCGTGCCACGGAATCGCTACAATTGTAGATTGCATCCAGCACCATATCAAGGACGCTACAGTTTGCTTTTTTGTCATTTTTTTTCTAGGTCTTAACAGGTTTATGTATCTATCGATGGCTATTCCACTCATGCTCAGGATCGACGCCGCCTTGAGCAGGCTATCGAGAGAAACCGACAATTCGCAAAATAGGTAGCTATTCGTAAGCCTTGGAATATAAGCTGGTGTGAGATAAAAAGCAATATCCGATAGGGCAAGGAGAATGTCCACCAGGCAGTGATTCAAAACCATCGTGTTTGTTGTAGTTCGCATCTTGTGGTTCAAAGAGTAAGAAATGACGACAATGGAGTTCGTCAATAGCGAGAAAAAGATCAAACAAACGGAAGGGATGCATCGTCCAATGTCAAACTCTTGTAGCAGATATTTCTCATTTTCTACTAGCGATCGGTTGGAGATATTATGGAAGTGCAAATGATTTGCCATTTTAGTCCAAAAATTCAGTGTTCCCTTGAGCGGTTAAACTCGAAGTCGCACATGGTTTTTAGAATTTTCGTGAGCTTCACTTGATTCACGATCTCCTCGCTCTGTAAGGATGAACAAAACATGCATAAGCAAGCTTCCTCTTCCAGTTTCGAAACATTTTCAATCTGCCAGGAAATTTCCTTGATTCAAATCTTAAGCCGACGTGTTCAACGAACGTCATGACTCGCTAATCATGACAATATCATGCGTTTCCGCTAGTCATCTTTACTTTCTTTAAGAAAAAAATGACTCTGCTGAGCACAGTATACCTTCAATAAAAGACTACACATGTGCACTTGTAAATTTGTTCCCAAAACAATCGCTAAAAATCATTCGTGCAAGAAAAAAATCGAGTTTTAAATTGAATTTACGGATCTTTAGAAATATGTAAATAAACAGGAAACTTGAAAGAATTTCCATGTAATTACTGTAATTCATCTTGGTACGTGATTACACTATTATTCAATTAATTTGAATTCAAACGATTGCGGATGTCATCTTCGTTTTCTAGTTTTTCTCTATTTGGTAATCACAATTTTATCATTACCTTAACACTTCGGGGGCAACGTGCAAAGTATAATAGACAGAATGTAATTTAAATCTAATCTAAAAAAATATCGATTAACTTAGCTCGTACACAATGATGCAAAAATAATATATATATATTATCCAGATCTCTATCTTGTCATCTTTAAGGTTGGGACTAAATTTCGTTGGAACATAAATACAGTTGTGAATTGACGAAATAAATTTTTAACGATAGAATTTGGAAGGGTTTGAATTATACTGCCTATATTACAAAAAAATTCAAAAAGTTTCACGTGTCGACATGTATCTCGAAGCTTGTGGATAACAAACTAAGATTTCAATTTTGTATTTTAAGTGAAAATTTACTTGGAATTAATGTTTACATTCTCTCGGGTCCCATATTTTTTAGACATACTTAGTTTTTTACTTCGCTGTACTTCTTTAGTTTATCCATTTCCGTCATCGTTCTCTTCTCCGGTCGTAATATTTACACAAGTTGTATAAATATTTACTTTATCGCCTTACTTTGACTTAACAACGTCTGATTCTTACATCAAACCCTTTTAGTTTTGCTACTAAAGTTACGTCTCGTCGGAAAAATCTGAAATTAAATATCTGGATTCCCCATGCCCGATGAAACCAAAAAGCAGTATATGGATTTGGCGACCATTTAATATTTCATGCTGAATCATATAAAAATGAATCATAACTAAAAGCTTATGTAAGGCTTCCATTGAAAAATCTTTAAGTGCATCTGGGGCTTCCTTGATTAACGCGTTGGTAGAAGACAACTTTTTTCGGTGCTCTACCTTTCGCCCGTGACTCAAGCTTTCTGCTCACCTCGCTTTGCTGTAAAAAACAACGCTCGCGGTCAAGCTACGATAAACCAGACTGCTTCGAATGGTTTCGATATCCGCTTCACCACTCTTCGTTTCGTTAAAATTGCCTTATGTTGGTACGAGAAGGCAGCCTCTCTTATGGCGACCGTAGTCGTGATGAACGTATATCGCGATAAAAACTAAAAAGATCGCACCTGTGTCGTTTCGCTGTCGCAATCGCCTCAGCTTGCTAACCGGGCCTGAAATTTCTCATAAGGGAAGACGTAACTCGCACAGGCCACAAGCCTCAAGATGGTGCAGTATTTGCGTCCGCTAGACTGATTTAGCTTAAAGCCAACCACAGTAATACGTGGTTATAACTTTCTTGCTCGTCACGCCACATTTTTCAAAGTGGGCAGACTTATTTTTCCGTTGTAACAACAATTATTAATTACCTCTATTCTTAGATAGAAAAGTGCTCTTGACTAACATCCGATTAGGTAAGACGTCGGTGAAGTCACTCGATTGCCCGAATCAATTTGCAGCTGATCCTTAGAGGGATTCGATGATCAAAGTGTATGTTTGATAACATCCTGTAGTGAATTACTTTTTTAGCCATGTGAATGACGAAAATTTTTTTCGTGAACGTCTTCAACAAGTTAAGAATGAAACAGATAAGTCGGTGTGCATGACGTTTGCGTTTACAAGAGTTTTACTTTAAAGAAATCTACTGTCAGCCCACAGACCTTTAGCGGACATCACCTAACTCGTGTCAGACCTCTCTTAAACCACCCGCCAGCGAGAAAAACTTACATGAAAGTAAATTTTGATCTTCTTTGTATCACTGAAAAATCCCAATAGTTTACCTTTCAAAGAAGCTTATTCAGAAAAGCAAGACAAAAACAAGTTTGCTTGATTTTTTGTCGGAGACTAAAGCATGTCTCTGTTTATGAAAAAACAGTCCAAGAGACTCACTCCCAGGTAACCATGCGGGTTAAGTATGACACGGTGATCCTGGGCTCAAGTCGAAACCTTCAAGAAGAACAATATGGCGGCTAGTGGTGACGTGGATGAACTCTTCGAAATCAGGAATTCCTTTTACATCGGCAACTACCAGTTTTGTATAAATGAAGCTCAGAAGTTACACGTGCGTTTTCAGTTTGGTTGCTTTGGTTTGAGTCTTTTTCGATGAAATTGTCATCTTTTGAGGGTTGAAATGCAACATTAGTAAATACGGTTGATTTGTCTTTAACAGCCTTCTTCACGTGAACTGGCCATTGAAAAAGATATTTATATGTACAGAGCTTATACAGCTCAGGTGAGTGGCTGTTTTTCTTTTCAATTCTTAGCGTTACGACGTTTTCGTGACATCTGGACCCAGTACAGTTCTAGCCTGACAACACACTTTTTTAAAATCGCTGTTTCCAAACGTCTGATCTTAAGTTCAATCAATCATTCAACTCTCTTTATGTTTCCTCTTATAATGAGCTACTATTTTCACTGTTTAGATGGTTAACAAAGTGTCTTTGAGATCATGGTCAGGTCAATATTCAATCAACCAAACTCACATGTTCACACTGAGCATTTTGAACCCAGACCATTTGGCAAAAGTCTGCCAAATGGTCTGGGTTTTATCCATAGTTGGGCCATTGTGTTTTTTCTTTTCTTGGGCAAGGCATGTTATTCTTGCAGACTCCATCAAGAACTGTAAATTTGTAGTGGTACATTGTCAGGCAAACTCATTGAAAGATATATAATTATTTAATTTTTTTTTTGGCACTGTTGGAAGCCTCCCTCACAAGAGCTGGTGGTTTCCTGAGGTCCCCTTGCTATTATCTATTATAATATTGTTATTCAATAAGTATCATAAACTAATTTACCCATCTTTTAATGTTTACAATACCATCCTTCTATGAATGGCGAATTAACCCTTAAACTCCCAAGATTTGATTGTTAATTCTATCCTCTAGCTTCTGTCCATTTCCTTGTGAAATGGCTACAAGAATTGATTGTTCCATCAAGATAATATTTTGTACCTGATAAGTTTGGGTAATCTCACTACCTGTTTGCTGGATAGGGTATGAACAAGTGATGTACTTGAGGTATATCTGTAACCCTAGGATGAAGTGGCATTCCTTCTATTGGGAAGTTTCAATATTCCTTGTTACTTCATGTTACTGAAGCAAAATAAGCCCCACTAACTTAAACATCTGTTTCTCAATGCAGCGCTTGTGTACATGTTTTTAAAAAAATTTTGTTCCAGCTCATGTGATGTTTCAGAACCTTCCATACATTTCTCTGAATTAGGGTAAGCATAGAGTTGTCTTAGATGAGGTGACATCAGCTTCTCCAGCAGAAGTACAGCCTGTCAGAATGTTAGCTGAATATCATCAGAATCCAAGCAAAAGGTACAATTACTTTGACTTCCCAGCTATTACATGTATTTATAATAACCATTTGACTCCCAAGATCAAATCATTAATTATTTCCTTTAGCTGCTTCATGTACACACCTCCTTGTTAAAAAGTTACAAGAATTTGGATTTTGATGATAAAAAAAACTCCCACCCGATAAGTTTGAGTACTCTCACCACCTGTTTCCTGGAGAATGTATGGATATTATAGGGAGAAGTTACATGTAAATCACTTCTGGGGGTTAAAGGGTTACTGGTGTAATTTATATTATGTGTCCATCCCCTAACTTCCTGTTATACCAAGGCTTTTGTGGTTAGTGTATTGTGAGAATTCACACTACTGATTGCAGATTTCATAGGAGTTCTTGCACAATCAATTAAAATTTTCATGATGAGAGAAAATTCTTGAAAAGTGTTGTGGATTATAATAAGAGACTCGCTACTGATCATTCATATTAATTAGCTCTCCAAGAATTTGTGATGAGCATTAATGATCATGTTTTATTCCAAACTGCCCCTCTCCCTTGTAGAAATTAATTACTTATCTGATGAAATGAGACAATCATGATGGTGAAATTCTTGGCTACAAACAAGTATCTACAGTATTCCAGGTGGCACACTTTTGCTAAAGCCATTTTGTTTTGGAACCAAAATTACCATCACTTCGTCTCTCTAAATGTACAAGATCTACTGTGCAGTGTAGTTTAGTTCTACAAACCTCAGAATACAAGCATACATAAACCCCAACAATCTTTTCTTGTGTTCTATCTTATTATTTTTCATTCATTATGGTAAGTTCTGCTCTTCATTAAGTGCTATACATTTGATATTGTACATGAATTATGTTCATTACATCTCTTAGTTAGTCCATGCACTATGATTGGTCAATTTAGTGGGCCATATTTCACTGTGTGGTTTACAAAATTCAAAAGTTTGAATTA